GTGCATAAACAAAACATCATTCCAAAGACAATTGAACTTCCTAAACCAGAACAAACTATTGAATGCAAGCTTGCTAATGATGAGGATTCCAAATGGAAAAAAAAGGAATGTCATCAGTAGGGCAGGCAAAGCTGCAGGCCAAAAAACAAACATCAAATGAATGTATTAATGATAAAAGGTGAACCTTTTTGACTGGGCTTTGAACATGGAGTATCAGAATGGCAAGTAAGTAAAACTGGGTAAATGTCAGAAGACAATGAAAATACCTTTTACGATAAGGAAAATATAATGAATTCCTTCTTAAATGATGATCTGCAAGAAGAAAGGAATGCTGGGTTGAAAATAAAGTTTACCAGTAGGTACCTGACCAAAGTCAAGCCAACATTTCCAAAGATCTGCAAAGCTAGTCTTATTGCTAGGAGTTTTCAAGACAAAGATGCTTACAACACAAGGAATGATTCTCCAACATGCTCCAAAGAAGGTCTCTGCCTAGCATTAGCAATAATGGCATCTAACCATTGGATGTGCAAATTAATGGATAATAAAGATGGCATTTTTACAGGGCAAGCAGTTAGGCCGATTGGTTTATTTGGATCCTTCTAAAGAGGCTGGGGTATGTTGAGGTTATATTTGGAAGCCCTCCAAATGTGTATATGGCTTGACAAATGCTCCAAAGTCCTGGTACCTGACACCCAGGGAGCAATTAATGAAATTAGGAGCTGTAACTTCAAAATATGATCAGGCCATGTTTACATGGTAGTTTGGAAACAAAGTACAGGGTATAATTGCTGCTCATGTCAATGATATTTGCTTTGCAGGGTCAGTGACTTTTCAGAGAAGTGTTATGGCCAGATTTTGACATATATTTGCTGTTAAATCTGAGGAGGTTGCTGAGTTTTAGTACACAGGGTGAGACATAAAGAAGAACAGAGAAAGCATTAAATTTGGACAGAATGAATACGTCAAGAAGTTAAAATGTAACCAGTAGCAGCAGGTAGAAACTTAAGACACACATTATCCACAATATAAATTAATGAAATCAGACAAGTAATAAGCTAACCTAATTGGCTAGCCACTCAGACTAGACCTGATCTAAGCTATGATGTCAGTGATTTAAGTTCCATACTAAAACAAGAAAATGTGAAGAGTATAAAACAAGTTAACAGAGCAATTAAGAAAGCAAAAAAGTAAAAATTTCAGATATATATTTCATACTTAGGAAACATTGGAGATTTAAAAACTTGCGTATAGTGATGCCTCTTTTGCTAGTTTAACTGACGGCAGATCCCAAGGAGGATACATACTCTTTTTCTCAGGAAGCAACAATAAATATATGCCCATTGCTTGACAATCCAAGCATATTAGAAAAATTGTTAAAAGTCCCCTAGCTTCTGAAACATTAGCTATGCTTGACATGTCAGAAACATGTTTATTTTATAGAAAATTTTTATTGGAGCTATTGCATCTGAAATATCATCCTGACAATATCAAGATCCTTTGCCAAAAAGACAATTCCTTCCTCTATGACACAGTACACTCTTCAATACAGAATATGGATAAAAGACTCTGCAACGAGATGGCCATTCTAAGAGAAATGATAGAAGGATAAGAGATTGCAGAAATCTCTTGGATACCAACTGATACACAAATTGCGGACTCTTTGACAAAGAAAGGAGTACCATCATATAAAATTGTTGCGTTTATAGCAGAACCTAAGCAGCTCTATGTATAATGAATTGTTACATTCCCTAATTATTTTTTTTTCATATTCCTAACTGCAAAGAAAAGGAAAAAGAGGAAGAACTGTAAATATACAGAAGTAACTTCTCCTGGGTTCTCTCTGAGGGGAAAAACAGATTTCTATCCAAAAGTGAGCAGGCGGGGGGGGGGGAGGGTCATATTGAATGAAGGGATGGTAAGCATGCAGTGATAAATAAAGGTGTTTATCCTTTTATATCTTTTGTCAGTCCTGATTATTTTTATTCAACATATGAGATATTACAATTTTCTTTCAATATAAAACTTGCTTTATAATCTTTTTACATTCCATTTTCAGGATTATCTGAATTCATAGCATGAATTAGATATGTGTTAATAATACATGTCTTCCTATTAAGCCTTGGCTTTTATTACTGTCCACATTTACAATAATAACAATTTCAATCCTGGTTTTTGTTTGAAATGTCCATTCAAAGTATCCTAATATCATCAAAATGTCTTAATTTGAAATGACTTTTATATAGTTTTGGTTTACCCATTTTTAAAAAAAATCTTCAGAATTAGTGATACCTAACTGCCAGTGTCAATTTGCATTTTAAAATTTCCCCCACTCAATTTAATTTCCAGGAAGGTATTTTTTTCTTATTTTTCTCTTTTGAGAAAACATTACTTTCACTTTTTATAAGACTTTATAGTTTTCTATTCTAATTTACACACTGATTGAAAATGTATTTTTTTTTTTGTTTTTACAATTTTTACAAATTTGTCTCCATGCCGGACATTTTTCTGTGTTTGCTTCATGCTTATGGTTATCAATATTTGCATTTTACGGTTGTTTTCTTTATGTTGTGGTAAAACCTCCTACAGTAGAATAAACTCTTCTTCCTCTCATAAATACTAACTGTAAGAGTTGGTTTGGAGTAAATGCAGTGCTAACCTACCGTTCAGACATACACCTCTATTTACTTATTACTAACACTATTGTTTTGTATATATCTTCAATATACTTTTTCAACCTACCTTCGTCTTCCGTGTCTTTCTTTCTGGCCCCTAAAAAGGCCACAACATTTTATTATGCATGTGTCCATAATTTTGGGTTGATTTTTTTCCTTATTGAATTTTTCAATCAATTCTTCCTCTTGTATAAATTCGATACATACTCCTAATGACATTTGGTTAACTGCAATTGTTCTAACATTTTAAATACGTGTGAAGTATTGTTCCTTTTCAATAGACATTTCTTCTTGTCTTAAATGTTGAAATTCATAATACCAGCTGATGTCTCATAGCTAGTGTAGAAATATGATAATGGGTTTCTTGTATTCTTATTTTAATGACAAGATCTTGGTTCATTTGGCAATGATCAACCTTTTCCTTGGTGGAATATTCCTTAGAATAATCTCTTTGATCTAGTTAAATGTCAATTCTTTCACCTCTTTTGGATAAGTCATCAACAAAATCTTCTTAATAGCTTTACCATTGACTGTTACCAGAAATAAATTTGTGATTTCATCTTCACCTCCACTTATTTTGTTGTCCCATAGTTTCTTTGTTCAAACAAGGGCTGCAAAGCTAAGTATCAACAAAGTCTGGGTCTTATACATGCAACAAAGATCCTAATGGTGTCGCCATATTCTTATGCTATTCCAAGTAGGGATTGAAATTCTATACAGTCAGTATTGATTCTACAGTCCATGGACCATTTATTTTACTATCCTGTACTTTCTTTGCAAAGCACCTGATCCGAGTTTCAACAAAATCTGGGTCTTATACATGTAACACAGATCCTATTAGTGTCACCATATTGTTATGATAGTCCAAGTAGGGATTATAGTTGTATGCAGTCAGTATTGGTTCTACAGCGAAAGACCATTGCTTCTACCTTATACAGTGAGCATCTACATAATGTCTACTCCTACACATATGCTAATTAGTGGTAGCACTAACCAACCATGACTACATTAACTTTATTGCCAGAAAAATATCTTCTGCAATCATTCTAACCATGGAAACAAACAGGATCTACTTCCTTATTTTCTCTTTTGGAATCTTCTGATCACAATAACATTTTTTACTGCTCTCCAATAAACCAATCAACTTTGTGGTTCATCACTAAACACCCAGATGAAAGCAATTTCACATTTGAAATTGCTAGATGTAAGGATAAGTTCTATGCTAACAGTTTCTTCTATCACACTTCTTGCTTGTGGAACTTTGTTGTGACTGATTGTTTCCCAGTCAACTTTGGTCTTTAGAAATTTAAATGCAATGTCCATTGTTATCATCTGCCTTTATTCTTGTTCTTTTATTGTCTTCTTTCCTTATTCTCTGACAGGAAGTAACACCTTGTATCTTAGTGGTATTATTGCCTTGCTTGGGGTGAAATTGGTTTTATATATATATATATATATATATATAATATTTATCCAAAAATTATAGCATAAGCAAGTTATAACATCACTACAAAAATAGCCATTTTGTTTCAACACTTTTGGTGTCTTGTCAAATAATGGTGTTGATTGCAGAATAAAAAAAAGTTTAAAACCAACCAAACTTCTCTCAATAAGAGAAACATTGTTACATGAGAACCAATAACCAATCAAAATACAAGTATATAATAATTCAATAAACTAGATAATGAACTCTAAATATAATTAATTTATGCCTTAATATAAATGTCAGACTAAATTAGAAGTCATTATAACTAATTTATAATTTCATAACATTAAAAATTATTAAAAATAAAAATTACAAATTTAAATTTTATATTTATGCTGCATTAAGTTTAAAATATATAATTATTCAAAGAAGAAACTAAGCAGAGGATATATATTTTTATTTTTATTTAAAAATTGTTTTCATCGAAATGTCTGATTGTCAGTTAAAGTCAACACTAATATAAAAGTGGGTGTTCAAATTTGTTAACAACTTAGATTAAATTAAATAAAAAGCTTAATCACAGTACATTGTTAGTCGTCTTTAATGAAACTTGACAATGGTTTTCCTATTCTTTTGATCAGCCAAAATTTGTGTATGGATGCACATAAAGATAATATTTACATGGGAATCTGTTGATCCTTTTGACAGATTTTATTTATTAGTTTCTTAATTTATAGCAAAATTCTGTATGTTATCAAGTGGCATAGACTTCATGTAAATATACATACATCTATACTTATGCTTCATAGTTTCATAACTTCAGTCATAATAAAACTGATAGATATAGAAAAATAACAAGTGAATCCTGTCCTGATTTAAACAACTAACCTTGAAGTAAGAGCTTATGGCCATATCATGTTGAAACATGGGTTCCCATATGATGACCAAACTTAAGGAATGTCAAGCCTGGTCAGTACTTAGATGGGTGACCGCTTGGGAATACCAGGTACTGTAAGCTTGGATGTGTGTGATGTAATGGACAATGGTTCAGAATTATTAATCGACGTTCAGAGTTCAAATTCCAGTTGAGTCTGTTATATTCACATATGAACAAATAACTTTGAAAACTGTTATATTCCATGCTAATAGGAATATATACTTGAAAAACAAGGTGGAGGATGGATAAAATAAGTAAATGTTTATTGTAAAAAACTAGTACAATAAGAATAAAGGTAAAAGTTATGAACAAGTTCATCGCAAGTCAATCCAGTAATGTACTCAACAGATCCCAGCTCGTCTATGTAGTCTGTTGACTTACAGATACTTATAGGTAGTTACTACCTAGAGTGTAGTCACTTATGGGGGTAACAGGTTATTCCATTACATCAAAAACATATGAATCCACCTCCTCTCCCCCTTCTATAGATTAATTGGTAAAACTTGTATAACAGCAGCCATTATCTTCACCCACAAAAATAAAAAATGCATATAAAATATTTAAATTTCAGCATTAAATGACCCATAGAGGTATTGATATGCTGCTAAACAGAGACAACTAATCAAACAACCTTGAGGTAAGCAGGCAAGTGACAAAACTACATTATGTTACTATTCTTCTGCTTGAGCAGCATGGTGAATGTTAATTTGTAAATACTATGTTAGGCAAATTACACATATACTACACTGATCATCAGAAGTAGGTCAAAGAGTAACACTATGATCTGAGACAGAGTGCACAGTTACAAAATTGATCATGGGCAAAGTAATTATTGCAGATGTACTAATTGGCAGTAAAAAAAATAAATTAAACAGATATAGAAAAATAACAAGAGAATCCAGACCCCGAGAAAAACAGCCAAGTGACATACGCATTATATCAGATTTCTTTTGTCAGAAATGTATCATAAAATTCAATCTGAAAATAATATGTAACTGGCCATAGAGAAAGGGCCAAGGAATCACACTGATTCTAAGCAGAAAGCACAGATGCTACACTGATCATAGGCAAAAGACCAGCATGTAACAGCTTGATCTTAGGAAGAATGCACAGATAATACACACGGTTATAGGGAAAGGGCCAAGGAGTAACACTGATTCTAAGTAGAAAGCACAGATGTTACACTGATCATAGGCAACGAACCAAAACATAACAGAAAATACATATCGTATATACACATTGATAGGTTGCACTAGTAGATAGGTCACATCCTTAGTTTGCGGTAGTCAAATTGTGTATTTGCGATTGACTTGCAGATAGGTTGCAGTATAATCTAGGATGTTAGATGACCCTTTTTAATGTAAAACAGATATTTGTTAAATATTTTCAAATATTCGCCTTTATTTCAAAACTTTGCTTACATATATTAAAACAAGAAAAGTTTTTATTCATTTAGATATAGTTATTAAACTTCATCCAAACTGAAACCGCAAAATTCTTCATTGTCATCATTACTGTCAAACATTCTTTTAATTTGCATTTGCTTATCGAGTGCAGGCTGCTCTTTTTAGACAAAATTTGGATATCAGTAATCACTTCAATCCTGAAATCACTTGCAAATAATAATCTTTCTGCATAAGATAATAAATGGTAAATCTGAGTGCACTTTTATTTGACGTGTGATGCAGTAATGGTGGAAGAGGCAATTGTGTAAAATCAAAATATCAGAAAAATTCATTTTCTCCGTTGTTCTTGCTTATGATTAAGCCCAGACTATTGATATGCTGCAGTCTACTTCAGATTTTCCATGATGCCAAGTGGATAGGTCGCAACCCTAATTTTTATCCAAATTTTGGTGAAAAAAGTGCAATCTATTGTCAATTATGTATAGTAGACAAATATGTAAAGTCTGTATGTCTATGTCATTTGTAATAATTATATATATATATATATATATATATAATTATACATTTTATATTATATATTTTAAGTAACTATAAACAGAAAAAAATGAAATCTTTGAAATCAAATGTAGCAACATTTGAAAGTACTCAGGAAAAAAAAATATGCTTGAATAAATTTCCTGGTTATATAAAACAACTGATTAAAAATTTTGTAAAGGTTAATAAAAAAGTGGATGACAGAACTTGTCAATATTATTCAACAAAACATGACAAAATATACATTCTTAAAAATTTTCACATTTAGTTATGCAAGTCAATGTTTAAATTGGTTTAAATAAACCAATGTGTAAATTTTCAGGATATATTTACATGAGCGATATATTACGTTGAATTTCAGTCTCTTAAAAATACTAACAATAGCTTGTTTCAAACCTGTCATAATTCATGATACAAACAAAGGTTCAATATAAAATTTTATTTCTAAATAAATTCAAAAGATCTATGTGATAGAAATATTTAACAAAATATCCCAGAGATAGAAATAAATGATTATTTTATGTTTTAATACAAATTTTTTGATATTTTAAAATCTTCATCAATTTTAATTTCTTAATTTTCTTAGCTTCTCTACTTTTTCAACTTTAACATGACACATACCAGTTTTTGTTGCTTCCCAGAGATTTTCTTTGCTTGAATATTGTTTTGATTCTGATATAAATCTCTTTTAATCTCTTTTGATGAGTGAGCTCAAGTTTTCAATTTGATTACTATCTGGAGAGGCTGGCAATCATTTCATGATTTTGAAACCTTTTGGGGGGCAAGGTGGGCAATTGACAGTTTTTCAGAATGTGAAAGAGCATTATCTTGCATGAAAATTCTATTTAATCTAAAAACTCTTGGTTATGAAGTCTACCACTTGATAAATAACTTTTTCAAAAATTTTCAATAATTCACTGTATTTATATTAATGCCATCAGCAACTTTGAAGGGACCTATAGTTTTATTGCTTACAAGGCTAATATTAGAAGAGGATGGGAGATATTCCATTAATTTGGTGCCTTTGAAACCTTTTTTTGGCAAGGTGGGAGGATAGGTGACAGATATGTTTTGAATTTGGGTCGTGTAAAGTTGGAGAATTCAGCAAAGCTTTGGAAAAAAAGTGATTACTGTCATATTAAGTGAGTCAAATTGGATATTATGATGAATGGATTTTATTTGGCAGAGAGGTTGGGGGTATGAAATATTGAAATAAAAACTTTTTGATAAATGCGTTGTCAGTAAATATGTAAAAGAAGTGTGTAAGGGAGCACAGAGCTATTCCTCAAGCATCATTTGGGGATTTGAAATGTAATAATTCAAGAATAGAAAATGAATGAGTGGGTAGGTTTCAGAAAAAAAAACAAAACAGATTTTCTCACTGGGATAAGAAAATCAGAATTGTGTGACACCAGAAGATTTTATATGAAGAGTAGCCAATATAGGTTGTTGGGGGTGGGGAGCCAAAAGCTGAAAGAATTTCATGGTATGTACACAGGGCCCAATTAAGATCCATAGGAGCCTTAAGCACTTAAAAGAATTTTGGTGTCCCTCTATATATGTGGGTCAGTTGTCTCCCCTGTTTGTAATAATGCTCAGCAGATTCAAATGTTAATCGTGTTCAACTTATTTCTTTAGATTTGTATAACAACATCATATCATAACAATTTCCCTTGATACCCTAAGCATGTTGCTTATTTCATTAATGGTTAATCTAACCCTGGATGTACTGTCTGGAAGTAGACAGGACATTATTTGGGACTAGAAAAGTAGATCCCTTGTTGACAAGGAAGTTGTTTGGAGGGTGATAAAGTGGATTAATTGATTGATTTGAAATTCTTTATGGCTTATCAACCATTTACAGGTTATTTAAAGCCAGAAAATATTTTTAAATTGTAAGAATTTTTTGGAGATAATAATGATTTACTGATACAATACTAATTAACCCATAGCTGGGGAGGAGAGAAAAGGTGGATTCATACCTTTTCCAAGGTTATTTATGCATATGTGAATATAACAAAACCAACTGGAATTGGAACTCAGCTTGCTTATTTCCAATTCCAAGCCGTTATCCAAGTTTTAAACACATGTTATTCTGAAGCAGTCATCTAGATACAGACTAAGCTTGACATCACTTAACTTTGGCTATCCTACAATAACCAATGTTTCAACATTTTATATATATATATATATATATATATATATATATATATATATATATATCATGATAAAGTGGAGGGAGAGAACAAGGTAAAGAAATAAAAAAAATGGTTGGTGGCAATAGATGCAGAAAAGGAATGTATTTTTTGATGGTTGATTATAGACTTGGATGAGTGGTTGTATGGCAGGAGATCAAATCAGTAACAGCCACCATAATCATGGAAGTCCTGAACAAGGTGTTTTTAGATAGAGGCGGTCAAGTGGAAAAGGTATTTATATACAAAAACACTACACTCATATCTAAAGTACTATTTATTTCCGAGATGATGAACGACACTTGAGTTACATCTGAAAATCTTACACCACCAAATAAAATATTGAGTTATTTTCACTTGCAAAATTAGAAAACTCATGGAAATTCTTTCATTTTTGGTTTCGATCAGTGTATATTTTTTTTAGGTTGATACATCCTTGTGAGTGGGCAGGCTGCTGCAGGATAGGTGCTTTTAATGTCACCATCTCTAGATAGGTTGCTATCCAAGGCTAAAGAGCTTCTAACTGTCCATTAGTTATAGATTGTGATTATGTACTAGCACAAACAATTAATGGCTTCCAAACTAAATTTCGCTCACAAAGGTTGGGTGTCAACCAATGGTATGTTTTTCAGGCACTTCCAAATAGTACTGTACACTGGGATTGTCTCCCTAGGAGGGATATTATGGAAAAGTCACCTCCTTGACTAATCAAACATGGTTAGATTTGAACCTTGGTCTCATTATCAGAACGCTAATGTTCTAACCATTAGGCCATGTACTCCACACCCACAAATAACTTATTGTAAATATTTTTTATAAAAAGAGATATGCTGAAATTCACATTATATCATATATATTATATTATATTATATATATTATATTATATTATAGTTATCAGATAAATATAAATAAATCCTGGAAAGCTTACTAACATCAGGTTTTTT